TCTCTGATTGCCTTCCCTTTCCTGCTTGTTTTGTTTTTGTTTTTCCTATGCTAGCCTACACCTCACTGTGTAGTTGTCCTCAGACGTACGTCAATCTTGCTGCCTCAGCCTCTCAAGTGCTGGGATTATACACAGGAGCCACCACACCCGGCTCCCTGGTCTCTAATTCTAAGAAGTCATTGTTAATGTACATTTATGAAGTGTATGTGTGAATTACGCTTTTAAGCTCTGTGAGGAGTGTGTCACCACAGTTAACAAACTCATTTGAAATGAATTCTTAGGAATTTTTCCCCTTATCACCTAATGGAGTCAGACAAACGGCATCGGCTATGCCTGGGGTGCTCAGAAATGCAGGGGTCCCCAGATGAGGGAGGCCGGTCTGAGAGGAGTGAAGGACTTTCCATGGGTTTCTGTAGTCAGGCTAGTTTCCCTCTTAAAGTGTCTTTCCACCTATCCTGCATCCTCAGATTTAGGAGCTGTCTGGTCATTCTGCTAATCATTCACCATGTTTGGCTTCCTCCTCCGTTTCTGTGGGTAGTGTCTGGTTTGGGATGAGTGATTCCTATCTTCAAAGTCCTAAGATCAGAATGCTCATGTTTTAATGAACAGCACGCAGCCTTGATGTTTAGCCAGCGTGGAGAACTCAGTTTCACAAACGGAACATTATGTGGGCTCGCTTGTTCCGCATCCGTGCTGCTGCCAACCTTGAACTTCAGGTGTCCCGGAGAACGTTGTGTTCTCCTCCACTGACTGCTGATGCCCCGTCTCAGTTTCCAGGAGATCAGGAGATAATGGCCAGGACATGGATGATATTTGCTTGGGCCCCCACATTCATTGTGTCCCTAGACCCTACGGGCCCGGGGCACAAGAAGTGCCATTGCTAATGGGAAAACCCCGTCCCAGGTAGACGCGGGACGCACAGAAGCACGTCTGGTCGTGGAAAGCACTTAGTGGAACCGCAGACCCGGTTACAAGGGACCACATTTACCCACAGTGGCTCAGGATTTCCCAGAGCAAAGGTGGCTACCTGGAAACTTTCCTCTCTGGTCCCCTCTGTCATCATATTCTTAGTTTCCCTTTGTATCTCTTCGGTCTGGACCTTCACCCTTTGGAGCTTTTCGGTTATTATAATCATGAGGTTTTCCTAATATCTTTTTATTGGCTAAAAAAGAAAACTTGTGTGGGGGGAGGGGTGGTAAACACTCCATTTTATTCTCTCTACACACACACATACACACACACACACACACACACACACACACATATATACATATATTCCCATGTGGTTGCTGGGAATTCAACTCAGGACCTCTGGAAAAGCAGCTAGTGTTCTTAGCCTCTGAGCCATCTGTCCAGCTCTCTCTATTTTTTTTCTTAAGGACACTTAAGAATACCTTCTTATATAGCTGGGCACGATGGTGTACACCTTTAATTCTAGCACCTGAGGGCAAGGGCAGGTGGATCTCTGTGAGCTGAAAGTGGTGGCAGTCTGGTTTACCCAGTGACTTCTAGGCTAGCCAGGACAGTGAGACCCTTTTACAAAACAAAACAAAAATGACTCTCACTTAGAGAACAAGATGTCAAAACCCTTACCTTTCTATAGTAAAGAATAGACTCTTTTAAAAGATAAGAAAAAGAAACAATCTGTTAGAAGTTGGAACTGTAATCCTGATCTTAATTAACTCTAGTCACTTTTTTTTTAAATTCCACAGCCCTGCCATGCAAAAGCTGGGTTCCTACAACAAAAAAACTAACACTGGTTATCATCAGCTATAATTTTTCAAATGTTTATCTTTTAATCACATTTTTGCTTGTGCACTTGTTCATATTTTTCTAGAAACTGTGTAAGTTTTGCACTAGCTTTAGTGAGCTCCCAGTTCCAGAAAAATCATAATTTCCACTCCTTAACAATCCTGACAAAAACGTTAATTCACATGTATTCATCAGACTCTTCATTGCTATGGGAAACATCTGAGATAAACAATTTAAAGGAAAAACATTTTTAGATCATGTTTTCAGAGGTTTCTGCTTAAGTTTGACTTGACAGGGGCAAGGCAGATTATGTGTTAATGGGGATGGATGGTAGAAAAAAATTGCTCACCTCATACCTCAGGAAGCAAAGAGGAAAACCAGGAAGGGAGCAGAGATAAGACAGCCTCTGAAATATCGGTCCCTGGGACCCACTTCCTGCAATGTGGCCCCACCCTACCCAACAATTGTATCCATATTTTATAAATTCATCAGTGAACTAAAGCATTGATTAGGTCAGAGTTCTCATGGCCTAATTGTTACTGGAAATGTCATCACATGGATGGTGAGATGGCCCAGCAGGTAAAGGTAAGGGCACTGAGCCTGACTTCCCACGTTAAATCCCTAGGATCCACACCATGACACTCGGATGTTCACACACAGACACACATGCACACACTCACTCACTACTAAATATTAGAAACGTTACCACAAACATACCTAAGGATACACTTCACTGATTTCCTAAGCATCTCTCAGTTCAATTTAATTGACAATCAAGATTAACCATCACATCATATATAACCCAAAATATGAGCTTCTGTTACCATCCTCAAAACACAGAACTCATTGTTATTCTTGTCATTATTATTAATAATAATGAAGATTCCTATGTAGTCCTAGTTTGACTTGAACTTACTATGTTGCCCAGATTGGCCTTGAACTTACAGAGATCTACTGCTAAATGTATGCAGCACCATGCTGAGCTCAACATTTAACTCTTAAGTACGATGAGATCCTCTGTCTAGAGCTAAAAGAAAGGAAAGTGTCATGGAATGTGAGGGAGGGTTGTGTGGCTGAGACCAGACAGTAATATGTATCACTCGTATTCACGTTCTATTGGCAGGGACTCAGTTGTGAGTATACTTCCAACTGCAAAAGGGAGGGGATTTGGACAGTAGGTATACAAAAGAAGGGAAGAAATACTGGGCCAACTAAATAAAGACCTTTGCTGCCAACCCCATCTGAGTTCAATCTCCCGAAGTGATGTGGTGGAAGAGGACTGTGAGCGACCCTCTACGCCATAGCATGCACGGACCTCCCCAGTACACTGTTTTAGAAGTAAGGGGCTAGAGAGGTGGCTCAGTGGTTAAAAGCACTTGCTGACCTTCTAGAGGACCCAAGTATGGTTCCTAGCATCCACGTTAAGTGGTTCACAACCATCTATAAGTTCAGCCATCTATAAGTCCAGGTCCAGGGAATTCAACTTCTCTGGGTTCTGTACATACTCACTCTGTACATACTCACATCCAGAAGACACACATGCCTACACATAATTTACACATGCCTACACATAATTTAAAAGCATAAAAATAATTTTCTTTAAGAAAGGAAAGAAATCCTGTAGCTTTCTCGCCAGTCTATACCACACTTGAGTAGAAAAAGAAAGAAAAGTAATTCCAAACTACGTTGGAATAAGAGCGGTGAGTTCCTCCGTAGAGCAACCTGGAACTCTGCAATGGTATTTTCACACTGAGATATAATTTCACTGGTGAAAAGGATGGCCCAGATTTCCCTGATATAGCCATTTTGTCTTACCTATGGGGGTCTGCTCCAGTGCTCTTAGTGGATGCCTGAGCCTGAGAGAACAGAGTGACGCCTTATGCATGCTAAAGCCCAGTGTACAGAGATGCTGCATAGAATGCTATCTTACTCAGCCCTAAAAGAAGGAGCTCTAATGTACAGCATACTGATTATAGCTTATAATATTGAATCATGAATTTGAAGTTTGCTGAGTGTAGACTTAAGTGGTCTAGCCACAAACGAATGTGACTGTGAGAGATGATGGACAGGTTAATTATTTTGACTATAGTAAATATGCCATAAGGTCTATGTATATAAAAACAACAGATTATATACTTTAGTTTACACACACACACACACACACACACACACACACACACACACACACACACACACACAGTGGTGCATGCCTGTCCCCTCAGTACTTAGAAGGCAGAGGCAGTGAGTGGTAACAGGAGTTTGAAGCCAGCCTAAGACTCTATCTCAAGAACAAAAGAAGTCAACAAGTATGAAGACTCAGCTTGGTTGAAATCCCATGTATGCAGCTAGCTGACATCTAGTGCCCAGGGCTTTCTGCCCTTATGCATTACACCCATAGCAATAGTTGTTACAGAGAGAACAAAGTTGAGATGATAACTCTCATTAAAATACAAGCAACTGATTGGATTTACATGTCACAAGATATCCGTATCTGCTTTCTAGTAAGACCTTCTGCCATAGTGCTCGAAAATTCATCTCAGAGCTGGCTTGTCAGTCCATCTAGTATCCAGCTAAGCACCACTGAAGGGCAGGCGAGTTGCTTTCCAGGTAGCCCTTTGGCTTCCTATTGTGACAGAATAAAAATGCCAAGTAGGAGCTTTACACATGTAAACAGAAGCCCAGAGATGTTATTCTGGCTGTGGTAGTGCACACCTACAATCCCAGTACTGGAGAAAATAAGACAGGAAAATCATGAGTTAGAGGCTAGTCTGGGCTACATAGCAAGGCCTACATCAAACAGCAAAACTCAAATATTTGCCTTCAGTGTACAAGCCGATAAATGGGCAGGAGTCTTTAGGGATGCATGAACTTATAAGTTAGCCAGTCCTTTCCTAGATACTCTCTGTGATCAGGCACCACCTAGCTCCAGGAACTAGATGGGCCCAGGAGAAGTCAAGCACGAGAGAGGGGACAGGGTTGAGCAGAGGCTCTTGCAGGGTCCCCAAGCAGAGCTAGTGAGAGCACACAATCCTGCAGGCGCATGCACTCTCAGAAACATTCACGCCCCCTCCTCTGGCAGCAGTCAGTCAATTCACTGTGTGTTAGAAGGGAATGAGACAATGAGACGCCCTTCACCCAAGGTGTAGGGCTCCTTTCCAGAACTTTCCATTCTGTGGGAGAGAGAAGTGGGCAGAAGGAGACGATAAAAGTAGGTAGACACTATCGCTGTGCATAATACCAAAACTTAATGAGCCCACGAGGGAGAGGAAGGCCGAGAAATCTCGAGTTCTGTTCTTTACTTTTTATACAAATAGACCTATCATTTCATGGGGAATGGAAAGTTCGGTGGCCATTTTTACCCAGGGTTATACATTTTCTTCTATGGATTGTATCAGGCAATAGTGGTCTCCAAGGCCATGATAGCTAATGACTCTACTGTTCATCGTTCATACCTTCCCAAGAATCAAAAGAGATGTTCCAAGCTGTGGAAAATAGCCTTTGGAGGCTGGCTGAAGATAGTGACTGGGTTCCTCTTAACACTGTATGTGGTCTTCTGTCTGGATGATGGGATGGTGCTGATCAACAAAGAGACGCCTCCAAGGTTTATGTACCCTCAAGAGTGGCAGCACCTCACCATGTTCATCCTCCTCACCCTTGACGGCTGTGTAGACGTCTTGAGCAAGAACGTGCTGCAGCAGAGGTGTGTGGCCCTCGAGAAAGCTTCCATGGCCCTGGGCATCTATGTGCTCCTGCTGCTGCTGCTGTCACATGTTCAGGTCTCATCAAAGGTGGAGCTGCGCGTTCACTGTCTCCTCATCCTGGTGGTGTTCCTGCTGATGCTGGTGTTGACGGCAGAGCTGTGGGCTAATGGGTCCTTTTACCTCCAGCTGATCAAGAACTTCCTGTTTCTGATGATGGGCTCGTGGCTGATGCACACAGGCTTTATTCTGTTTAGACCCATCTCTGGCTACCCGTGGAAGGATGATGATATCATGTTTGTCACCACCTTCTTCTGCTGGCATGTGGTGATCAATGCCTTATGCCTGTTGGGAGTCTATGGCGGCATCTCTTCCTTTTGGTGCCGTTGTTACAGTCCCAGCTTGAGGCTGATGGGGTCCAAGGAAGTGCTGTATCATGGGAGCTCCTCAGGAACATTTTACAGGCTGCTGCGGGATGCAGAGCAGCAGGAAAAGGATGACTGGGCTCTTCTTTCAGAGAGCCCTGGCTGTGACAGGCCCTAGAATGCATGCAGTACTCCGTCTTCCTCCTGGGGGCTCTCTAGGGCATTTGTCATGCACCCTTTGTTCCTCACTAAAGGTAATGGCCCTGGAGCATGCTCACTAGTCCCGCCTGTTATGCCTAGCATTGACTCTCTAACTGTTGAGGAGAGGAAAGGATAGCCTGGAAGAGTGGCATAGCCCAGGTTATGCTGGTCAGGAGAAGTGAGAAGGCAAAGTGGACTAAGAGGGTTGAGAAGACTGGGCTATAAGAGCTGCCCATAGTGGGAAGACTTGACAGGACACCTGCGAACAGAGGAGCCAAGTTCAGTAGGGATGCCACCTCTAAATGCTTCTCAAAGTTCTGGCCAAGGAATAAAGACTTCTCACAAATGGAAATGGAAGTGGTGGGTGCCCCTGTTGGCCAGTTAAAGTGATACTGTGTGGAAACAGCATAAATATGTGTATAGTACAATTCACTATTCCGTTTGGATGGAATGATAAGAATCCCATGTATGTACAATTTAATGTGGGTGGATTAGCATTGTTTTAAATATAAATAAAGAATTAATACTTAAATATCTCATTTTTTAAGGTTCACATGAACCAAATTTTCATGAACCCCTACCATATCTTTTATTTTTAACTCCTAACCCAGGCAAAGCAAATGTTAAGTGATGCATTACTACCAGCTCCACCAGAGCTCACTAAAATATAATTTACTATACCTTACATGTGAGTCTTTCATGAACAACCAAACCTGCTGCTGAGTCACATTTACCCCACAGTCACCCTATACCTAGAATCAGCTTCCCCTATGCTGCCATTACCAGGATGAACAATTACACAAAATTCTCACACTCCCTTGATCTGGACCCCTGTAGTAATTCTCCTAAATCCACTGTCACTTTTCCCATGCTACAGTCACATCCTTCTTTGTCTTGTATCTCATATTCTTTCTCTTGGGAAGGTTTTGTCTCACTGCCTAATATGTGGACCCCTTCCAAGTAAATAAAGTAGGGTATCGTTACCTAATTCCCTTGTGATATTACCTTTTAGGGGAGCCATTTGAGTGGAAGAAGGAACAAGAGAGAGGTACGAGTGGGGAGGACAGTAAGGAGTAAATATGAGCCAAGTACAGATGTTTCTATATGAAAACTTTATATTGTAACCATCATTTTCTATGCAACTAAAAAATTAATTTAAAAACACATCTTTCTAAACCTGGAATCAATCAACCTCAAGATTCAGCAATACCACTCTTGGGTATATACCCAAAGGATGCTCAATCATACCACAAGGACACTTGCTCAACTATGTTCATAGCAGCATTATTGTAATAGCCAGAACCTGGAAACAACCCAGATGCTCCTCAACCGAAGAATGTATAAAGAAAATGTGGTACATTTACACAATGGAGTATTACTTAGTGGTTAAAAAAAAAGACACCATGATATTTGCAGGCAAATGAATGGAACTAGAAAAAAAAACATCCTGAGTGAGGTAACCCAGACCCAGAAAGACAAAGACAGTATGTACTCACTCTTGAGTGGATAATAGATGTAAAGCAAAGGATAACCAGGCTACAATCCACAGCCCCAGAGAAGCCAGGTAACATGGAGAACCCTAAGAGGGACACATGGATTGCCCTGGGAAGGGGAAATAGAAAAGATCTCCTGGGTAAACTGGGGGTGGGAGAGAGGGGAGGGATTGGGGATGAGAACATGAGGGAACAGGATGGTTGAGTTGGGGGAGAGATGGAGACGGACAGCAATGAAAGAGACATCTTGAGAGAGGGAGCCATTGTGGGGTTAGGAAGAAACCTGGTACTAGGCAAATGCCCAGGAATCCACAGGATGACCCCAGATAAGACTCTAAGCAATAGTGGAGAGGATGCCTGAACTGGACTTCTCCTGTAATCTATTGGTGACTGCCCCAATTGTCACCACAAAACCTTCATCCAGTAACTGATGGAAGCAGATGCAGAGATACTCAGCCAAGCACTGAGCAGAGCTCCTGGAGTCCAGTTGAAGAGAGGGAGGAGGGATTATAGAAACAAGGGGGGGGCATGATGGGGAAACCCACAGAGACAGCTGACTTGAGCTAGTGCGAGCTCATGGACTCTGGACTGACAGCTGGGGAGCCTGCATGGGATGGGACCAGGCTTTCTGAATGTGGGTGACAGCTGTGTGGCTTGGTTTGTTTATGGGACCCCTGGCAGTAGGACCAGGATTTACCCCTGGTGAATAAAATGGAGTCCATTCCCTTGGTAGGATACCTTGTTTGGCCCTGACGCAGAGGTGAGGGCTTGGTTCTGCCTCAACTCAATATGCCAGGCTTAGTGGACACCTCATGAGAGGTCTTACCCTCTCTGAGGATTGGATGGGGGTGGAAAGAGGTGGAGGGGAGGGAGGGAGAACCATGGTTGGTTTGTAAAATGAATAAAAATTTTAAAAAGCACATTTTCTATATAGTTTATGCTTAATACAGTTTAGCTTCAGAGCCCTCTTTACTGTCCCTTATAAATATAGTGGCTAACTGCTCTGTGAACTCTCTTCAGCAACATTAAGCATAGATCATGTAAATACTAAGCCCATTTGCTTCCTTGTTTATGTGTAAAATGAAAATGGGTTACCAAAAAATATGTATTGGAAATGTATTGGAAAAAAGGGTCCCAGAGGCAACTGGAGGGACATAAGAGAAGGCCATCAGGATGTGTGACTATGATCAAAATACATTACATACATGTATTGAACAGCAAAATAATAAATATATTTTAAAAATAAATTGAGTTTTGATTAATATATGTAACTATTAATAAATATAATAATCTCAAAAAAAGATTAGAAAACTTTATTTAAATCTCCTATGGTCAGAACTGGGTGTGGTGACACATGTTTGCAGTTACAACACTTGGGACACAGAGCAGAAGGCTTGCAGGCTTGAGGACAGCCTGGATTACATGGTGAGTTTGAGGGCGACCTATGCTACATAATGAGACCCTGTCTCACAACAAAAAGATAATGGGGGCACTGTGAAGAAATGCTTTCACCATACACAGCAGGCACAAAAAGATTTTCAGCACATATAGATATGTTCAAATATTAACAATAAGAAAGGAAACCTAAGAAGAAGAAGTGTCGTGGGAACGGTAATCTTAGGTGGCCCTTCTGCTGCGATCATGAGGGAAATCAACCCAGGACTTTGTGCAGGTCAGGTTCGCAAGCTCTCCATCACAGAGGCACATCCCCAGCTCTTCCTATGATGTTTCTGAAGTTTTATTTTAAGAACGCGTTTGTGTATAGATCTGTATGGGGTTATGCACGCGAGTGCAGAAGCCTATGGTGGCATGGGCTTTCTGTAAGAGCGGAACAAGTCATTAGCTACTATGCCATCTCCCCCAGCCTACCCTCATCCCCAGTACTTTTAATCTTTTATTGTTATTGTTGTTGTAAGGGTTTCACTAAGTTTCCTAAATTGGCCTTGCAATTATCCTGTAGGACTTGTCTTAATTTGTGATTTTCCTGCCTCAGTCTCTGGAGCAACTGATATTATAGTCCTGTGTCACCAGGTCTGGCTAAGAATAGTAATTTTAACTTAATTCATTTGGGGAAAAAGAGATTCTAATAAACTTAGATCTCCCTTTTCCCTATCACATTGTCAAAATAACAAAGAAATAATATTTATCATTGGAGAAGATGTATGGAGAGGGAATCATACAGTGTAGGCAGCAATGGAAACTGGTCTGTATTTTTTGAAGTTGATGTGACAGCGTGTCAAAATGTTAGGTACGAATATCTTCTGAGCAAGCAATTCAACTCCACACTGTCAGGCCCACTTTCCCAGTGCTATGACTATGATGTGCCTACTCTGTTTTGGGAGTTGTGAAATCTTTAAGGAAGTGGAGCCTCAATGGCATGGCCCTCAAGGTTATATCTGACCTTCGGTTCCTGTCTGGCTTCCTACTTTCTGTCCATCATGATGTGAATAGCCTTCTTTCACTGTGTGTTCCTGGCACCACGATGCTTTGTCCATGTTCATGAGGATCAAGTAACTGTGGACTGAACCCTCTGATACTGTAAGCCAAAATAAAGCTGTCTTCCTTCAAGTTGTCCTGTCAGGTATTTGGACAGAGCAGTGGAAAGAAACAAACACACTGGTAGAATTTTATTTTTAGTAAAATAAAACTATCCTAAGCTAGTGTAGAGACACATGACCAATCTGCTTATACAACCTACTCAAGACTTTGAGGAAACTGAGCCTGCATGGAACTTCCATTCTGCCACACAAGAAGTAGCAAAGGTGGCAGCCTCTAGAGGTTCTTTCTTGTCAAGTTGTCTTGTCCATAGTGCATACTGGTCCATGGGTCCAGAAGAGGAGTCAGCTTAAGTGCATTCAATAGTGAGGTGCTAGGCATGGGTCTTTCAAACTTAACCCAGAATCCTTATCTCACCCTTACAGTGATGCTGTTGATGACCCTGTTTAATAAATTCCATTTCTTTCGGAATGTTCAAGGGTTAATCTATTAGAAAATCCTTAAGAGCTATTTTCTGGGTAATATTTAAGGAACAAAGACATCATATTGCAAGTTATAACAATGAATAGAGAATTGGATGGTGCAGCCAGTGTGGGTCTAAGATAACCTGCACTGTTCTTCCCCAGCAGACACACTCCATGTAATCTTCCTTCTTGAGTGTGGGAAGATTGTTGAGATGGAGCATAACATCTTTTTGATGAGGAGGATTGAGACATGGTATCAGATAATCCAGGTGGGCCTCAAACTTTCTATATAGTACCACTCCCTATGAGATTATGGGGGCTAATTACATTTAAACTACCACAGTAGCCAAGGATGAGCCTGAATTTCAATCCTCCTGCCTCCACTCCCTCCAAGAGATGGGCCTGGAGAGATGCATTATTACACCAAGTTTATGTGGTTTTGGTAATCAAACCAACTTCTTGCAAGCACTTTACCAACTGATCTATACCCCCATTGCCTGGAACGCCACTCTTTTAAGTAGTTACTAATCAGCTAACTCTGAATTAGGAGGTTGGGGAGACACAGTCCCTGCTTCCCAGCAATAATACCACCCCATGGGAGGGACTGAGAATCCTTACTGGTAGGAGGGATGTATTTCCCTTAATGGAGTTTAAAGTTTAGGGTTCCCAAGTTGAAGAATTAAGACTCCTGTAAATGTCCCTGAACTCTGAATTTGTATTGGGGCAGACAATCATGAATCAGGACTGTTAGTGTATGTCAGTAACAAATATATTGGCAGTACAGGAAGGACAAGATTTGGTTGGTTAAAAGATGTACCAAATCTGATAGAAAACAAGGCCAGAGTGTTGCCATGGCAACAGGAGTAAGTTTTGTTATGTTGTGATTGTGTCATTGATCCATATTCCTATTACTAACACCATTTTCTTTGGTAACTGAGTACTTTTCGGAACATCATGTTTTAGTTTGGGGATTGAAAAGTTAATAAGCAAAGGAATACACATTTACTATTTAATTTGCGATTTAAAACCATTTCCTCCTAGTTTTTCGTTGATTTTAAATAATTTAAAAAT